CTGAACACATGAGCACAGGACTGGCTCAGGCGAAACTGATTTAAAAGATTCTGAAAGAGGGACTGGGAGGGGAAAGCCCTTGGGAAGATACTCTCTGACTGACCTAAGCCTCTCATCTGCCCTCACATACCTCCAGGGCCCCACATCTCTGGCAGGAGGGACAGTCATGCCCACCAAGGAATGATATCCAAGCAGATCTGTGGCTTGGCATCACAGCTCATCAGGTCAGGAACAGTGGCACCAGCCTGGAGCCTGAGGGACGACCAGTCTCTTAGAACAGCTTTTTTTCTGAAACACTCTGGATTTGTAATACTGGCTGTGCCAGGCTCTGGTCAGGAGGACTCTGGACCAGCAGCTGGATAAGTGGGGCAACTATCACAAAAAGGGACCAGAGAGACAAGAGCCATATTGTGCACTTCACAGAGGATATTCACAAACCAGTGAGACTGCTGTCCTTTAAAAAAACAGCAGCTTTTAGCAGTGTAGCACCCCGATGTCCTGCCCCAAAGAAACCCACAAGGAAGAGGATTCATACCCAGGAGCCTTGGCAGCTTACAGAAATCCCAGCATGAGGCACACACTGGTGAGCAGGGCTGGTGCAGTAGCACACAAATCTGGGGAGCAGCAAGAGCCAATTCCCTCTCCCTGCTGCAAGGCCGGCAGCTCTGACTCTCCAAAACAAGGCATTGGAGGGGTAGAGGTGAACAGACACCTGGCCTGTGCATCTGGGCAGCTTCATGGCATCTCTGGGATGGTCATGTCTTTGTCCCAGTCCTCTCAGTGTAGCTGGCCCTGGGTCACAGCAGGATAGAGCCTATGTTTGAAATAGCTCCTTCAGGGTCCATCTTGTAGAGCATGAAGTGGCCCTGCACCTGGGCAGCGCTGATCTGTTTGGAGACAGCCAGCGCCTGCTCCGCAAATCGCTCGGCTGCAGCCAGGGGCTGCTCGGGGTAGAAGCGCTGGAACATGCAGGAAAGCTGCCAGCGGGAGCAATGGCCCACGTACTGCTTGAGATCCACACGGCCAGGACGCACCAGGGCTGGGTCCAACCTGTCAAGAGAACAGGGGAGCCTGAAAACCTGACCAAAGCGTCTCTGCAGGGTGGGTCCTGTAGGAAGCCCCCATCCACACTAGCACAGCCCATGTACTGTCTGCAAAGTGCCATGAACTGTGAGATGGTAAAGGGACAAATCAGGTTCCTCCCTGGGGAGATTGAGGGGGGAAATCAACCCAAAAGAAAGGAGAGAGCCAGGGAAGGGCTGGCTCTGGACAAGGACAAACAAGTCCTGTGAAACAGTTCTGCCCATCTCTGTCCCATAAGCAACCTCTGAACAACCCCCTAGGATAGCTCGGTCTGGAGTGAGCTAAGCCTGCCATGGCGCAGTGGCTGACCAGGTGCTGCAAGCCCAGGCTGCATCCCACCAACCCAGTGGGCTACACGTGGGGCCAGCGTTTCACTCACAGCATGGCCACAACCCCAAAACCTGCAGCTCCCCCATGCACAGGAAGCTGGTACCACTCCAGAAGGGAATAACCATATTCTGATCAGCAAGGAAGCATCTGAGGCTCCAGCAGAAGGAATCCTGGTTAACAATCGAGGAATTTGCATCCAAAAGGAGGATTTGGGAAACCTGAAGCACCAGTCTCCCTGCTGGAGGATTCAAAGCATATCAATCCATAAAGCCCAACAAAAGGGGGCAAGGTTCTCCTGTGCCACCCACCCTATTCCTTCCAGGGGGCAGTTCTGACCTGTCCACATAGTTGGTGGTCATGAAGACAATCCTGGCCTCTGTGGAGGCCACACCGTCCAGCGCATTGAGGAGGCCGCTGAAGGTCAGGCGCCCCATGCCTTGGTACGCAGCCGGGTCTAGGAACAGCAGAGTCTGAGATCACAAGCCTTCGGCCACTGACCCTGTGCAGGCTTGCAGGCCACCCTCCCATCACCTTACACCAAGTTCCCCACTCCCTCCCTGCTCCAAGGCTGACCCTCTGCCTGGCTGGTAGCACAGTCACCACCCCTGCCCACATGCACCCATGGGAACCCAAATAGAGAATGAGAGGGAAAGCCACCTTCTCCCTCATACTGAAAATAGCTAGGCAGGAGAAGGATCTTTGCCTGAGGACCCAAATTTCCCTTTATAGCCTAGAGAGGTCCTTGAGGCCATTAGAGATGCCCACTCCTGATCTCTGCTGGTGGAGCAGAGCAGCCCAGAGTCCAAACATTTCCCCTGTACAGCTGGCAAACATCCCTCCAGCTGCTGGCCCAGGAATGGGGGCAGTGCTCACTCTCAGCAGCCAGGTCCCGGCTGATGAAGGCAGCGTCCACATCTTCCAGCAGGATAATGCTCTGCTGCGGTGCCACGCTCAGGAGGTGGTTGAGGCGGTCATCAGAGAGGCTGTGGTCACTAAGGCTCAGCAGGCAGATACTGTACTCCAGCTCCCCGGCCAGGGCTGTGCTGGAAAGGACACAAACCACAGGGGTGAATCACAGTAGGAAAACACAGAGTCGAGGAAGAACCAGATCTTCCCAAACAGCAGCAGGGGAGAGGGCAGAAGTGTCTTTTCCCAGCAGGGATCAGATCTGAGGGGGGTGCAGGAGCCCCTGCTCAGCCTGCTGTGCAGCATTGTGCAAAGCAAGGGCACAAAGGGCTCATTACTCTGACCTGTCACGGCACCAGCAAAACACCAGGCACCACCCATGAGGCACAGCCCACTCCTGTTTCCAAACCCAAACTTATTCACACCTTTCCATCCGAGACTGCTGCGCCCCAGAGCAGGCAGCTGGTGGGAAAACTGCTGTTAGCCAGCTAACAACACTCACATGAAGCTGCTTTTCCCACAGCCAGGAGGACCGTACAGCAGGTAGCCTCTTCGGTAGGGGATTCCTAGGAAGACAGTGTTCTTTAAGGATAACCAGCTGGATTGCTCAGAGGTCCCTTCCCCCAGAGCCGCAGGGCTTTGCTGACTGAGCACACATAGAGGATACACCAAGGGAAGGTGAGCAGCAAGGAAAAATCTCTCCACAGCTGACTCCAGAGGGAACCACAAGCATCCTGCCCCACCCCACATGGTACAGAGGATACCACACAAGGACCTTGCCTCTGTCACTGTACCACTTGGAATTGTTGATGAACTCCTTCACATCCTGAACCAGCCTCTCTGACACGCCCTTCTCCAGCACCACAGAGCTGAGGGGCCGGCGGCGGCGGGGGAAGCCGAACTGCCGCCACTCTGCTCCCATGGCCGTGTACATGAGCGTCTTCCCCTCCTGCTGCTGCAGTGCCAGCTCCCGGGCTGAGGAGAGAGACAGAAAGGACAGCTGCCAGGGAAGAGGATCTCCCATGAAGCCCTAGACATCTCCAGGGAGTATACTGTTCCCAGCAGGACCCCACACAGTTCCCTCACAGACCTTCCTGGAGGATATTGAAGAAGATCTCCCGGTCGGTGCCCAGCGCAGTGAAGGTGACAGACTCCCAGGGGGTCCCTGTGTTCAGGTCAATCACCTGTGTCTCCCGGCTGCGCTCAATGCGAATCCACTTCCTGCGATACCTGGATGGGAAGACAGCGTTGGGGTGCAGGGATCCAGCACCACCCAGTTGTGCCCAGCCTGGCTCACCAATCAAGAACATTCATCTCAGGTAAGGAAATCACTTCACACTGCTGAGTACAGGCTCTTCTTGCTATTTCCTGCCCTACCCAGACCCAGGGAAGAGACAGGATCCTCTCCAGTCCCTCTACAGGCCCCCCAAGCTGCCAAAGTGAGGCTCAATCCCCACACTGGTTTCCCCTGCCCCCCTTACCAGATGAAATGGTTCCCAACGCTAGGAACAAAGTCAAACTTGGTGCTGACACGCCCACTCTCATGCTGCAGGTACGACGTCTCCACGCTGAGGTGCTGCGTGTGCTTGGCGTGATGGGAGACCCAGTTCAGCAGCCACTGGTAGCTCTTATCCTTGCTGGGCACCTCCAAGGTGATCATGTAGTGGCGCCTGAAAGCCACCAGCCCAAATTGGGCCCCTTTACGAGCCACTGCCAGGACCGTGCCCACCCCGACGAGGCCAAACCCAGCCCCGAAGTATGGGTTGTCCTTCAGGGCGAGGACAAAGTCAGAAAAGGGCATCGTGGGAGGTTAAGCAGCTCCTTTCCACAGCATCGTTTCTGTGCTCCACAAACAAACCTGTGTGGAAAGACTGAGTGGCAAGAAGGAACACAACAGATCGCCCGCAGTTCTCTGGCCTTTGTAGTGGCCACTTCTCAAGGTGAAAGGATGCCTGGCACATCTGGATCTCCCACGTGTGTGCTTATTACCAGGGGTTCAGAATGCTGCTGGCTGCAGGAACCCCCTCCCTCTCTGGGCCAGCCAGGCAGGTGGGGACCAGGAGCTGGAGGCTCTCCAGCAAGCACGGGAGCATGTGTTGCTTCCTCAGCCAAGGCAAGAAGCCCAGAGTTTTACAGGATTTTATTCTTTAAACAACCAGAGATCGTGAGCACTGCAATCATTTAAGGTTTATTGTTTGAAAAAGCTGAAGCGTGTCTCCAGGCCGAGCCGAGAGCCGGGTGGGAACGGGCACACGGCTGCGGTGGAAGCAGCACCTCCAAGTCTGGGTAACACCCGCACGCTCAGGGGGCCTGAAGCTTCTCCAGCTCCTTCAGCAGTTCTGTCAGGTACAGGGGACGAGGGGGAGCCTCCCCCGGCAGACACACAGACCCGCTCCACTCCCTCACGCAGCATTCCAGCTCCCTGAGCACAAGGTGTGACCTTCCTCCTTCCCGGGCGTCCCGTGGGCAGGGTCCCCCAGCCCCGCGGCAGGAACCCCACCTTCCCCTGCAGGAGACCCGAACCCGCACCGACCCTGCCCCGCAGCAGCAGCAGCAGCCCGGCCCGGCCGCGCCCCGCGGGAAGCCCACGCCACCCGCGGTCCCAGTCCCGCCGCTCACCTGCGTCCCTTCCGCCCGCTGCCGCTTCCGCCCGCGCCGCTTCCGCCCGCACCATAGAGCGGCACCGGGGGCCGGGCAGAGCGGCCGCGCCAGCGGCACAAAGAGCGGCGCTCCTGCCGCCCGGCGCCACCACCGAGATGTGCCGGGGCTGGGGGCCCCGGGGCGGCGGGGACAGCCCGGGGTGAGGGACCGGGGACAGCCCGGCGTGAAGGGATGGGGGGACCGGGGACATCCCGGCGTGAAGGGATGGCGGGGAGACCGGCTGGGGACAGCCCGGGGTGAGTTGCTCGCGGCTGGTGGGGCCCGGCCGGGCGGGACTCGCAGGGGGCACTCGCTGGCTGGAGACAGGACACAGCTCTGGGGGGTGGGCTCGGGCTCGGGGCTGGGCCCAGCGGGACCCAGGGAGCAACCCCTGGGTGTTGGGCTCGGGAAGAGGCCCCCAGGCATCTTTGGGGAGGGTACAGGTGTCCTTGCACTCCTATCTACTGGGGGTTGCCAGCGGCCCGCTGGAGGCACAGCAAAAAGGATCCAGCGTTGAGATCCCGGTCCATGCCCTGACTGGGGACTGGCACTGCAGGCTGCCCCCCAAAATCCTGTTGGGCCTCTGGGTTGTCTCTGTTTTAAAGCTCTTTCTTCTATTTCAGAGTGAGAGGCTGTCCTGGCCAGCACCAAGCCAGTGCCCCGGGGCAATGAGTGCAGCAGTGACTGTTTCTGAGGGTGCTAGCAGGGAGATGGAGGCCGTGTGTTCAGAGCTGCTCCTGCCCACACCAGGAGAGACAAGAGCTGTGGGAAGCCCTGGTGTGGCCAGCACCAGTCTGGCTGGGACACCCCCACTGACTGCCAGCCAGGACTTGCTGCTGGCAGAGGCATCAGTGCCTGGGGAAGGGGCTCACGCTGAAGGAAGCAATGTAGAAATATTCATCGAGACAGTGGCTGGCAACGTGACGCTGAGCAACACAGCCAGTGCCACAGGTATGGGGTGCAGGGAGGGCAGTGTGTGCCCAGTGACACTCAGCAGAGGGAGAGAAGTCTGGCCAGGGCCCCTATCCCTTCCAGCCAGCACCCTGGGGAGACCAGGTGCCCTCGTGTCTCTGATTTCATGTGCATCACCAGTCTGGTACCACCATTGAGTGCAGACTTGGCACAGGCTGGGGGTGTGGATGGGGAGAGTGGCTGTGGGAGTTGTGTGCTGGGTGAGGTGGTCAATCCAGGCTGTCAGTAGGGACCAGGTGGAGATCTCCACCTGGACTGGTACCCCCAGCATGCTTTCTCCGTGGGTCACATATAGGCACGTCCTACTGGGAAAAGGGCCAAGCCAGCCTCACATCTGTGCATGCCTCAAAGGTGCAAAAGGACAGACCTGGTCATTGTGGTCTCCTGGGTGGTGGTGTTCCCTTTCTTATGGGAGATGTCCTGGGATATCCTGGGCAGGGGGTGGGCCGTGGTTCCCAAAATGTAATTTGTGGCAACAGGGCTTTATCCTCCTTGTCCAGAGCTAGAACTGAACCACCAGTCCCACGCTCTGGGCCTGGTGAAAGCCCTAGCTAACACTTGCCCCTTGCTCTCTGTAGAAGTTCTGGTCAAAGTGGTGGAGCTCTACTTCTGCGAGAGGTGTGGCCGTAGCTTCCCAGAGGCCTCCCTACTGTCCCAGCACCAGTGCCTGCTGCTGGCCCCTCCTGGGCACCTGGAACTCCCTGGGGCGCTGCTGACTTCTGCCAGCAAGAGCCAGAGCAAGCCAGGGGGCTCAGAGCTGCCTGGAGCTGTTGCACAGGAAGGCTCTTCTCCCGAGCACCTGCTGTGCCCCATCTGCCAGGAGGTGTTCATGCAGCCTGCCCAGCTCAAGGAGCACTTCAAGACCCACCGTGCCCCACCAGGAGCCCTGCCCTGCCCGGAGAGGGGCTGCCACTTCACCACGGAGGACCGCAAGCAGCTGCGCAGTCACCTGCGCCACCTGCACGGGGCCTCGCCCGTGTCCTGCGCCTGCCGGGCCTGCCCGCTGCTCTTCCCCAGCCGCCCAGCTATGGAGCAGCACCACCGGACACACTTCCCCTTCCACTGTGGCCACTGTGACTTTGTCACAGCCAATGCCAAGCTCTTCTGGCAGCACAGGAAGGGCCACACCACAGAGGCCCCATCCAAGATGCCCGAAACAGGTGGCTCCTGCAGTTCAGACCCCCACGGCCTTGAGCAGTGCTGCGTCCTACCATCAGGTATGGCTGGGTGGGGCGTTGGGGGCTGTGGGTATTGCAGCGTCTGACTGTGTCCATGCATCCTAGTTAAAACTGGGAGGAGTGGGGGGACAAGGTTGGAGTGCTGGGAACCCTGCATTCTTTCATCCCTGCACAGCACAGTTTGTGGCCCCATCTCAGCCAGGAGGTTTTCCTGTGTGGGGGTGGTGGGGACAGGGTGGTCCCTCTTTCCTTCAGCATGATGATCGCTGTCGTTCCCCACTGAAGCAGCAGCAGAAGGGCAGGAGGAGGCAGGAAATTGTCACCCTGACTGGGAAGCCAGCACAGCAGAAGCCAGGCCAGCAAACCCTGCAGGTACCAAGGACAATGCCTTGAAGGGGCAGAAAGCATCAGCTAGAGAAGAAGACTCGGACAGCGATGGGGATGAGTCACAGGAGGAGGACGGCGAGAGCCCCTGTGAAGCCGAGGCCAAAGAGGATGGGAAGGCAGCTCCTGAGAAAGCCAGAGTGCCACGGGCACACCACTTCAAAGGTGGGATGCAGGGCCCTACCAGGAGCTGCTCAGGCTTTATGTTGTGAACAAGCAGCACAGCTTTGGGGCTGGTGTGGAAATGTGGGTCAGGCTCATGGGGCCTGGGGGTCCTGTGCCATCCAGTAACCCCACATCTCCTGCATGTACCAGTGCACTGTTCCCTTGACGTCTACCCAAGCAAATCTGTCCCTTTTTTTTCCTGTTCACACCCACTGTCAGGTTTAGGCAAAGGTCTGCCTGCATTTGGGGATCAGGGGCACGTGGACAGGCCTGATGTCGGCTGTGCTTTGCCAGCATTGAGCTGGAAAGAGCTCACCGGGAAGTGTGCTGGTGGCTTGGCATGGTGACAGTCCCTCCAAGAAGGTGGCTGCCTTGCAACTGCATGTGTGTAAGCCCTCACCCTAGCACAGCTGGATCAGGAATAGAACATCTGCCTGTGCTCTCCATCTTTCCCTGATTGCTCCCCCTCCTCTGCTCTTCCAGGGGATGTTGCAGAGGGCTCCGAGTACCTCTACAAAACCCACATGTGCCCTGAATGCAAGCGCTGCTTCAAGAAGCGGACACACCTTGTGGAGCACCTCCACCTGCACTTTCCCGACCCCAGCCTGCAGTGCCCCAACTGCCACAAGTACTTCACCAGCAAGAGCAAGCTGAAAATCCACATGATGCGGGAGACGGGCGAGAAGACCCATCGCTGCCCGCTCTGCCACTACAGCTCAGTGGAGAAGAACGCCCTCAACCGCCATATGGCCAGCATGCACGAGGACATCTCCAACTTCTACTCTGATGTTTACTCTTGCCCTGTCTGCGAAGAGAAGTTTCGGCTCAGCCAGGCACTCAAAGAACACCTGAAGACTCACAAAGCTGAACCCAAGAGGCTGACCTGCTTCCAGGGAGGCTGCGACTACTATGCGGAGGACCGGAAGGAGTTTGTCCGTCACCTCAAGGATGCTCATGGCATCAAGGCAGTGGAGTGCAAATACCACGCTTGCTCACTGCTCTTTGGCACGGCTGAGGCCATGGAGGCTCACCGGAAAACCCACTACGCCTTCCACTGCCAGCAGTGCGACTTCATCTGCTCCAACAAGCACATTTTCCGCAAGCATAAGAAGCAGGGGCACCCGGGCAGCGAGCAGCTCCAGTGCAGCTTCTGCCCCTACGCCACTTTTAACCCTGTGGAGTTTCACGATCATGTGGGCAAGATGCACGCCAACGAGAAGATCCACAAGTGCACCGAGTGTGCCTTCGCCACCGCGCACAAGCGGGTGCTCATCCGGCACATGCTGTTGCACACTGGTGGGTGTCCACTGTGGGGGTCCCAAGAGCCAAGCTGAGATGGGGGTGGTGTCCCTGTCCTGGCTCTGGGTGGGCAGGGAGGACTGGGTCAGGGCTTCTGGGTGCCACCACTGGCTCTGCCATCCCAATGTCTCCTGACTGAAGTTGTGGCATTTCCGTCCCCTTCTGTCACCCCCAGCTCCCGCTGAGCTGGTTTCCCCACCATATTGCTTTATCTGGCTGTTATGCTGAAGGTGTTCATGTGTTGCATATAGGAGAGAAACCTCACAAGTGTGAGCTCTGCGACTTCACTTGCCGGGATGTGAGCTACCTGTCCAAGCACATGCTGACCCACTCCAACGACAAGAACTTCATGTGCACTGAGTGTGGGTACATCACCAAGTGGAAGCACTACCTGAATGTCCACATGCGCAAGCACACCGGAGATCTCCGGTAAGACCCACTGTTCCACTGCACTGTCAGCTTAGTCAGGGGTCCCCAAATCCTGCTCCTGTTACCATAAATCAGCAAATAAGAGACCTCTAAGACTCAATTTGTGAGCATTAGGAGGCAAGTATTCCTTTATTGTCAGCACTGGATGCACACTAGGATAGCTGCTCTTAAGCGTGTGTGTGCCCTGCTCTTGCTCAGTGTAGCTAATATTTACTTACAGTTTTACATACTCATCAAATGTCTTACATATTCACTGCTTTTCTCAGAAAGTCTATGCATATATTAATCAGCTCTAAGAAGTTCTTCGGAACTCCTCATTTAGTTACTAGGGGTCTTCTGCTGGTCTCTCTGGGGGTTATTTGAAGCGTGAATTTCACTAGAACTTGTCCATTGAGCATGCACATTTATAGCTGTTAATAGAGTGCCTTTGTTCAGTATCTCTTATCAAAAATTAGATATTTATGTTACAACTACTCTGGTTGAAAGCATTTGGAAGCTTGCTTATTTTGCAGCTACCCTGAGAGAAGCTTTGATTGTAAAGGCCCATGGAAAATTACCAAACAACGGAAAATTACTACTCTCACTCCAGGGGCCTGCTTCTCCAGGCTACATTTTGTGCCAGACTCTCTCATGCCTGGTATAGCCTGCTCTGTCTGGAACATAAGAAATTTGGGCTTTGAGCTTGCACGTTGTCGCCAGCATGGTGCTGTGGAAGCAAAGCTATTTTTGGTGTCTCCATGCCACTGAGGAGATGTATTACTGCAGGTTCAGCTCTGCACTTGGGTTCATGGGCTCTGCTGATGTTTGTGGGCCAAGGCCCAACTGAGCATGTTCAGGACTGCCAAATTGTCAACTCCTTTGGGTCTAACTTGCCTCCAGGGATGCTGGAAGTGCTGTTAGTATAACACACTTGTGGGGATGACACAGTCACTGTATGGAATACTCGGGGAATCTTATCTCCCATCCCCAAGCTGGGGGTGTAAAGCACCAGTAGTGCCAAGGGCTGCAGCAGGGAGGAATTACCTGTGGTAAGAGCTGCCAAAGGTCAGATCTGGCAAACCCAACAATACTCCTTCCCTGTCATTCTGGGGTGGGGAGGGAGAGGTCATCGTGCCTGATGGAGCTCAGCCTGTCCCAGCTCCTCATGCTGTCTGACCAATTCTACTTGTCCCCACAGGTACCAGTGCAACCAGTGCTCATACCGCTGTCACCGTGCTGACCAGCTGAGCAGCCACAAGCTGCGGCACCAGGGCAAAAGTCTGATCTGCGAGGTGTGCGGCTTCGCCTGCAAGCGCAAGTATGAGCTGCAGAAGCATATGCAGGCAAAACACTCGCAGAACTACCAGGTGCCCATCTTCCAGTGCCAGTACTGCACCTACCAGACTAAGTACAAGCAGGCGCTGCTGAACCATGAGAACTGCAAGCACACCAAGCAGAAGGAGTTTCGCTGTGCCCTCTGTTCGTACTGCACCTTCAGTAACACCAGCCTCTTCTTCCACAAGCGTAAGATTCATGGCTACATTCCCGGTGACAAGGACTGGCTGGAAAACTATGCCAGCAAGGAGCTGGAGATCAGCTCATCTGAGGCACTCTTCAGCTACGAGCTCGGCACAGCCTTGCATGTGGATGCCAATTCCACCCTTGCTGGAAAGGAGCCGTGGGCAAGGGCGAAGCCATCCCAGCTGGAGTCCCAGGGAGAAGAGGGCTACCAGCAAGTGTTTGTGGTGCCTCTCCTTGGGCAGGATCCCACTCCACAAGAGAGCAGTGGTGAGGCAGAGAGAGGTGTGAGCGAGGGCGAGCAAAGCTGTCCGACTGCTGGCAATGTCGTGGGAGATGACTGTGTGCAAGGAGACACTGCCACAGACTCATCTGAGCTCACTGTTTCTGAGGATGTGGCAGAAAGCTGCACCTTGCACTTGGAAGCATTGAATGTCTCATCTGACCCCCTCCTGGAGCACTTGACTGGAGAAGTTTGTGTGACACAGCCAGAGAGCGTGGAAATGCTGTCCTGCAAGGAGCCTCCCGCAGCCTTTGAGATGCTGGGTTCCCGGGATGACCTTGTCTTGCAGAACAGTGGCAACACACTCGAAGAAATACCAGACTTTGAAGGAGAGGAGGCAGATGTACAGGAAGATGATGTGGTGAGACTGAAGCACAGTGTAGTGGCAGGAGACAGCCAGGGAAAAGATACTCTAAGGCAGGCAATGGACCACCTTGCGAGGTCATGCTCAGACCACCACAAGCTGGTGGCAGATACCGAGGTGAGAGAGACCAGCCAAGCCAAGCTGCCAGAGGCCTGGCTCAGTGTGCTGAAGACACCTGAGCAAGGCCACCCACCTGTCCCTGAGGATGTGGTCGCCTCAAGTGGCAATGCCAGGGGTGGCTCAGAGTCCATGCTGAAGGCTCTTAGGAAGCAGGACAAGGAGCAGGCAGAGACACTGGTGCTGGAGGGCAGGGTGCAGATGCTGGTGGTGCAGTCGGAGAGCCAGGTCTTTAAGTGTGAGAAGTGCTCTTACATCACACGGAAGGAGAAGTCCATGTCCCTGCACTCCAAAGCCAGCTGCCAGAGGCGCCGGGCCCCGCTCACGTGCCACAAGTGCGGCGCCAGCTTTAAGCAGCAACGAGGGCTCAACACTCACCTCCTCAAGAAGTGCCCTGTTCTCCTGAAGAATAACAAGATCCTCAGACCAGCCAGCCAGGAGCCACCTGGATTGTGCCAATCTGCTGACCAGCCTGGTGATAATGGTACAGAAACAGGAGAGAGTGAGAAGGGGCCCTCAGAGGAGTCCGGACACGCTGAGAGCCCTTGGGAAGCTGAACTGCTGCCTGATAAAACGCCGACAGAAGGCAGTCCTTTGCCTGGAGAACAGGCATCAGGCTGTCTTGCCTCTGAGAAATCCTTGCCGGTTGAAAGCACAGAGGTGGCAGAAGAGCCTCCCCAGCAAGGGGATGGGCCTGAGCCATGTGGAGCTGCTGGTCCATCCCAGCCTGGGAAACCCTTAGAGAAATACCGGCTGGAGGGAGGGAAGCTGCACTGCAACGCCTGTTCCTTCGTGTGCTCCCGTGTCTCCACCATCACCTCCCACGTGGAGGATGGCTGCCGGAACCTGGAGCAGTTCTGGTGCTCCCTGTGTCCTGAGGCCTTCCGCTCCCAGCGGGCCCTCAAAAACCACTGTGCTGAGAAGCACATGCATCCCAAGGAGGACAGATCCCAAAGCACTGAGCTTCCCGAGGGGGACCCAGCCAGTGTTGAGACAGGCCAGCCCAATAAGCTCCCATTGGATGTGGGCCCCCCAAAAGCCACCCCACCCAAGAGGAGGCGTTTCTCCTGCCCCACTTGCTCTTTCACCTGCCACCAGGAACGGGCCATGAAGACGCACAAGAAGAGGGGCTGCGTGACCCTGGGCGAGTTCCGCTGTGCCTCCTGCCCTTTCACTTCCAAGGTGGCCAAAGCCCTGCGGCTGCACCGCAAGCTGCACCGCAAGCACTACAGCAAGCGGCCGCAGCTGCAGTGCCGCCAGTGCGAGTTCACCTGCAAGCAGGCCCGCTGCCTATGGCAGCATGTCCGCATCAAGCACGAGGGCGTGAAGCCGCACAAGTGCCGCTACTGCGAGTTCAGCACCACGCGGCGCTACCGCCTGGAGGCCCACCAGTCCCTGCACACCGGCGTGGGGCGCATCGCCTGCGGCATCTGCAGCCAGACCTTTGGCACCAACTCCAAGCTGCGCATCCACCGCCTGCGGGTGCACGAGAAGACACCCACCCACTTCTGCCCGCTCTGCGACTACAGCAGCTACCTGCAGAATGACATCACGCGCCACGTCAACAGCTGCCACCACGGCGAGCTCAACTTCGCCTGCTCCCGCTGTGAGGCTCGCTTCAGCTCCGAGACGGCCCTCAAGCAGCATGTCCTGCGGCGGCACGAGGAGAAGGCGTCCTATGGCTGCCCACGCTGTGGCTTTGTGTGTCACAGCGAGGCCACGCTCAAATGCCACGTGCAGAAGCAGCACCCGCACCTCGAGTGCAGCACTTGCAAGGAGACTTTTGCCAGCCGGGAGGCACTGGAGGAGCACAAGACGCAGCATTTCAGCCACCGCTGTGAGCTGTGCAGCTTTGCAGCCAAGGAGCGGCAGCAGCTGGTGCGGCATTACATGGAGAGCCACGAGCCAGCCACCCCCCAGGACAAACCCCTGCACTGCCCCTTCTGCGACTTCGCCTGCTGCCACCAGCTTGTCTTTGACCAGCACATGAAGGGCCACGGGGGCACCCGTGTGTACAAGTGCTCAGACTGTGAATACACCACCAAGAACAGGCAGAAGATCACGTGGCACATCCGCATCCACACGGGTGAGAAGCCCTACAAGTGCCACCTCTGTAAATATGCCTGCGCCGACCCCTCCCGTCTCAAGGTGAGCTCTGATTGGAAATATATCCTACTGTATCTATGTGGCTAGAGGGGCATCCAAACATGGGGATTTGGGGAAGAAGTTACCAAGGGGAGATTTTATCCTCTACCCTCTTTAGTGGCTCACACAATAGTAAGAGGCAAGTGGATAAATCTTGTATACAAAAATGTTTCTTCCCTGCTGTTACAGTTTAAGGAGAAGGGGGATTTGTAACAAAGCAAGAAGGCAGGCAGCTGTCCTTGTTCACTCCTTTTCCTGCTGATATCTCTTTGTCTTTCTCCGGCTGGATCCTTGCACCACTGGAAGCCAAGTTTGGCTGCTTGCTGGCTTCAGCTTGCTCTGTGATGACAGTTAGACATGGTGCAGTGAAATCTCAGCTTCCTTGCAAGCAGACCATGACCCTGCCATCATTGCTATATATGATTAGCATCCTGATGCATGGTAAAGGGCCTTCTCTAGAACAGGAGGGCCAGGCATGGGGTAATGGGGGGAAAATGGTCTGATTTTGCTAAAAGAAATACTGACTTTTTAATGGTCAGGCTGAGCTGGAACCCCCTGGGGCTATCTAGGTGAGGCTGTCCAATGTACTCAGCTCAGGGCTAGCTCACTTGAGTTGGGTTTTAACTCAGACTTTGTCTTAAATACCAAACTGGGGAGCAAAGCCTGTGCCGTCCACAGGCTGGGACAGAGCAGTTCAGCAGTACAAGCATCTCATTCCAGTCTTGCTGTGGATCACCTTTGGCAATAGCCTGACAGGCAAGCCCACAGCCCTCCTTGCCCCGCACAGCTGGAGATGCCAGAGCTGTCTTTGAGCCCTTCACTGGCATCCCAGAACCCTACACATTCCCAGGGCAGGGGATGTGGTCTCATCCTGACCCCACCCTCCTGCCCTGTGCCCAGTATCACATGCGGATCCACAAGGAGGAGCGGAAATATCTCTGCCCTGACTGCGGCTACAAGTGCAAGTGGGTGAACCAGCTCAAGTACCACATGACAAAGCACACAGGTGAGTGCTGCTAATGGGGACAGGCCATCGAGCACCAGGGAAGGTGTTGGGCCTACAGGGACCCCAGCTCCCTGCTTCTTTTGCTACCAGTGGCCCACCTGGAGGCAGGGGAGGCCTCCCAGCATTTGGAGGGCAGCACATTCTCCTATGCCAGTGGGTTGGGGACAGTGTCCTCGGGTGGGAGGGAAGTGCAGGGTTGAGGTAGTGCAGGCCCCGGTCACGATTTGGTGCCTTGGAAAGGGGGCCATCTTGATGTGCCTACTGACACAATGGGGTGTAGGGCAAAGTCCCTGGGAACTGATGCTGTGTTACAAGGAGAGTGAGACCCGTGGAATGGAGAGCACTGTGCCCCCATTCCGGTGCCATCCCTTTCCCTGTTGCCACAGGCCTGAAGCCATACCGCTGCGACGAGTGCGAGTACTGCACCAACCGTGCAGATGCCCTGCGTGTGCACAAGGAGACACGGCACCAGGAGGCCCGTTCCTTCATCTGTGAACAGTGTGGCAAGGCCTTCAAGACCCGCTTCCTCCTCAAGACCCACCTGAAGAAGCACAGTGAGGAGAAGCCCTATGTCTGCAATGCCTGCGGGCGGGCTTTCCGCTGGGCAGCCGGCCTGCGCCACCACTACCTGACCCACACCAACGAGCACCCCTTCTTCTGCCGCTACTGCCCCTACAAGGCCAAGCAGAAGTTCCAGGTCATCAAACACATCCAGCGGCATCACCCTGAGCACGGGGCTGTTGACCCAAGCCAGGGGGTGGGAAAGGACCCCAGCACACACACTGTCCACCTTCATGCTGTGCAGAGGGAAACTCAGGCCAAAGGGCCGCCCGGGACAGAGCAGGAAGGAGGATGCCCTGTGGAGAAGGATGGCACATCTCAGGCTGAGTCCCGACTGCTTTAAGGCGCTGGTGGCACAGGCCTGCTGCAGAGATGTATGTGTGTGTATAGGCATATATGTATATGGGTTGTAAAATATGTGACTGTATAAAAGGAATCACTCAGCTCCTTTTAATACTGTTTCTTGGGGCTGTTTGGAACTCTGTATGAACGGTGGGCTGGGTGCCCACAGAGGAAGACCACAAGCACAAGCCCAGCTCCCTGTGTCTCCCCAGCACCACTGCACCCAGACCCGAGCCTGTCTGTCACTGAACAATTTATTAGGTTGTTTACTGAGAAAGGACGGGTAAGGGTTAATTTGGGGCTGTAGGGGTCAGAGGCTGTAATGGGGCTCTGCAGGGTCAGGGGGCAGTGAGGACCAGCTCCTCTCCCAGCTCTACCCAGTGGGGTTTGCTTGGCTCCAGCCTTGCTCCCCTGCCTGGGAGGGGACCAGCCCCTGCAGCAGAGCTGGGCCATGCACCATCTCTCCTCCTCCCCATGGCCAAGCTGTGACCTTAGGCCAGGGCAGGGTGCCCAGGGGGATGCAGGGAGCTGCACCAACATAGACCTCATGCTCAGGCATGGGGGACAGCATCCCAAACCTGGAAAGGGCAGGACAGTGCTTTTTCCCAGTCCTCGGAGGCTACTGCAAAGGGGATCACAGCAGCAACAACAACACAGGGTTGACACAAAACAGCTCAACAAGAGGGCGAGGTGGTTGGCTCTGCGGCCCCAGCCACTCAGGGCCGCCTGTATGGCTTCCATCCAGGTGCTGCTCACCCCATGAGCTCAGTCCTGCTCAGGGCCAGGTGGCTCGGTGATGCGGATATGGACAAAGAGCGAAGAGGGTGGGATGCTGGTGCCATCCTTGGAGAGGAGATGGATGTGGCGGTATCCTGCAGGGGGTACAGCAAGGCTTTGGCTGACTGCAACCACATACCCCTCTCTAGCACCCAACTGAGCCCCAGACACACTTACAGGGCTGGGCTGGGCCCCCAAAACCACTGGACAGCAGCCACTCACCAGGTTTGATGTTGGCAAAGGCTAGGGTGAACTGGCCCACGAAATCATTCCTGGAAGTCTTGTCATAGTCCTCCACCACGAAGCGGACCAGGGCCAGCTCAGGCACATGGAGCTGGAATTGTAGCGTCTCATCCCAGCGGGGGTTAAACCCTAGGAAAGGAGAGTGGGTGCTGGGAGGGTGAGGGAGGGCGGGGAATGTGCCTGGGCACAGCAGGGTCTCTGGTACCACTGTGGGGCTCACCATTGTTCTCAATGTACTTTGTCTCCTGGTGCGCCTGGTCCGCAGGGATGCCATGGATCTCCACGCGCACAAATGGGTCGATGATGTCCTTGCTGTTGGCCACTTTGGGCAGCTGCTGCCCGCTGATCACCTGCAGGAAGGGGCATGGACCCCATGAGCTGGGGAGCAGCCAAACCAATCTGTTGTGAGGCTACTCGGCTCTAGCACACTGCCCAACAGTCCCCATCTGTCTGTGACTGACAGAGCCCCAGGACACTGTCACAGCTTCCCTGGGGTCTGTCCTCAGCCCTGTACCTGGATCGTCAGGGTGATGGGGCCAGGGCCCTCCCGGCTGCTGGGGTCACTGGGGTTGAAGAGAGTCTCCTCATCCCTCATGAAGGGTGGTTTGAGCACGTAGCCACAGCGTCCGTTCTGGCTGAAGAGCCCATCACACAGGTCCATCTCCATGCCAGCTGTCTGGAAGTTCAGGGCCACTGTGGGGAGGTGGCAGGGAAGAGGGTTCAGAGTAGTTGGAGACACCATGCCCTGCCTGGAGCCGAGAACCATCCTGTCCCCATAGCCAGAGAGATGCGAGACTCCACGGGGGTATAAGGCACCAATGCCTGGATACCCCCAGGCTCCCCAGAGCAGAGCAAGAGCTGGCAGACAGATCTGGCTCCAGCTGGAGTTGTAGTTGGCACTAACACAGGTGTTAATGGTGGCATTTGGCACAGGACTTGCAGCATCTCCCCAGCCCACAGCCCTTATGCCCCCAGCCATACCAATCTGGCACCCCACGTTCCACATCTCTTGGGGGTTGTAGTTGGAGGAGTCGGTCCGCATCCCACTGGGGTAGATGCGTGTCAGCTGCCAGGCATTGTGGCAGACAAATTCATTTCCTAGGGATAGAGCATGAGGGCTACTCGTGAGGTCATTCTCTGGCCTGCACAGCCACCCACCACATGTGCTGCCCATCTATCTGTCCTTCCATTCATCACCCATTTATCTGCTTCATCCATTCATACTTTCATTCATCCTTTTATCCATCTAACCACTCATCCCCTCATCTATCTGGCCAGCCACCCACCCACCCACCCACCTACCCACCAAATTCTAATCCCTCTCCTCTCTCAGGAATCCAGGTCCTGCCTTGTTTTCTAAGCCAATAGGCTTAGAAATAATAATTAGCCAATACCCGCCCCCCACCCCGCTCCATGACTTACCAGAGCCAAAACCCACAGTACAGCCCAACTGGACCCCCTTTCCCCCAGATAGGGAGGGAACCCTGGTGTCTGGAAGTTTTAGCTCTACACCTGAGGAAGCCACCTACCCCCTCCACCCTATCCCAGTCCCCCAGTGCCACTGCCCCTTTGTCTCACCTGCATCCCGGATGAGCTTCCTGGCCTTGGCCTCAGAGAGGGAAGAGATCTCAGAGGGCCGAGAATGGCTGCGGGCCTCTTGGAAGCCCCGGAACGACACATTCTTGCAGTAGATGACACAGTCAGATAACGCTTGTGCCAGCGTCTCCTTGTCCTTCTGCAAGGCAGAGCTGTGTTGGGTGCTGGAAGCATCATCCAGCACTCACCCAGGCCTGGGCTGTAGAGCCAGGACAGACAAGAGCAGCTGGGGGTGTACTGGGAGGTGGCAGTATCCTCACCCATGAGCAGCTTTCCTGCCAGGAAAGGAGCAATGAGGGGACCCCCAACATGGTGCCACCACAGCAGAGAAGTGGCTGGCATGGCCAGAGGCAGAAAAGACTGTTCCCCCTGACTGTTGATGTCTCTGCAGTCTCTGTCTCTCCTCCAAGCATCAGAATTTCACTACAGCCCAAAGCCATGGCCAGCGGCTCAGCACTCCCAGCCCAGGCCACCCACCTTTGCCCTCCGCCTCTCCTCCTCTGCCTCTGCCCCGTTGTCATCATCAGACACATCGGGCACCTCGTCCCCTGGCCCGTCCAGCATGTCCTCCAGCCGCCCAATCTTCTTGCCCTTCAGCAGGATCTTGTGCTTCAGTTCCTGTGGGATTGGGGATAGAGAGGCACTTTGGGGGGTGCCCAGCTCCTCCATGAGGTTTGTTTTCCCTCGGATCCTGCACTGCTGGGGGCCAGCACTACCAGTTCCCTTTGGCACCCAGGAGGGGATGGGGTAGGAGGGTTCTACTCTTCTGTCTGACTCTGCAGGTCATGGGGAAACAACTCTGGGGACACCTTTGGCACCTCTGTGAACACAGGGTCCTCATGTGCTCCCGTGGAGCAGGATGATGATGGAACAGAGGTGGCCTGTTCTCTGAACAGCAGAACCACCTTCTCACTCCACTGCCAGGCAGGACAGCGATGCCCAGCACAGCTGTGCTCTATCCCTACCTCTGGGGATGGCAGATGGCTGGGGACGCGCCCATCAATGGTGGTGGTGAGGAGCTGTTCCCCCAGGATGTCCTTGAGCTGCTGTGCCAGGACTTCCTGCTGCTCCATGCTGCAGTGGTTCTCCAGGGACAGGATCACCGGGTAGTCCGAGACCTGGGGAACAACATGCACAGCTGGAGATCATCATTGTTGGGGCTGGGGGGCTCTCACAAGGGCTTTCTCCGAGCATCACCAATGCCAAGATGGAGCTCCTTGTGTCTTCCTGTTTCCTGCCCCAAGACCTTCTTACCCCTCCAATTCCCCATTACTCCCCACATCCCATCTCACTTCCACATCCCCGAGGCCCCATCTCACCCCTACACCCCCAACAGACCACGTCTGCATGAGCCCCCATCCCCTGGCACAGCACAGCACAGGCTGTAAGTCAGACACCCCGTGCTGTCACCTGGAAAGTGACACAGCCACCCACCCTCCTCTCCCGCAGAGTGAACAGTCCTGCTGCAGCACCAGCTGTGTGAACCACAGCACCCGTCCCCCTCCAGGGACCCGTCATTACCCCGTGGGACAATCACAGCCACACCCCCGCTCACACCAAGGGCCACCCACAACCCCCAGCACCTGGGGAAGGGTGCCTTACCTTGAAGGCGTACTTCCCCAGGGTGCTCACCACCTCCCGGAAGGGGATCTTGGAGGTGAAGGTGTGGCCGTGGTACACCATGGGCTCCCCATTCGGCCCGTCCCAGCAATCCACCTCCAGGCACCGGCAGCCCCGTTTCAGAGCCCTGGGGGTGGGTTGTCACCCCTGGGACCCCGCACATGGCCAGGGCACCAGTCCTCTGCCCTCCCCTCTGCCCATGAGTGTCACCACTATAGGGACCAGGGGACACCCATCCAGGATGCGGATGCTGCTGCATGCAGGGCAGGTAGAGCTGGGCTCAGTGTTCCCCTTGCTGAGCACTATATGGCATGGCCAGAGGAGAGGTTCACCACAGAGGAGCAAAGGAGCTTCTGGGTTTGCTCCATATTTGCTGCCCAGGGCACAGCACTGGGACAGGAAAGCACTGAAGGGCAGCTGGAAGGGAGCAGCCCCTTTACCTGATGTAGCCCTCAATGCTGCTCTGGCCCCGCAGCTGATCCTCTATCAGGTAGGTGTTGTGGGAGGAGGAGATGAAGTAGTGGCAGAGTGGCTGGTTCATGTCCTGCCACAACACCCGGTGCTGGGGGTTGAAGATGGAGCCCTCCGGAGAGCAGAGGTACATGAGGAACCCATCAGCACTCAGCACATGGCGAGCCCGGGCTGCAGGGCAGAGGGGGAGGCTCAGTGACAACCAGGGACATGGAAGAGACAGGATGAGGTAAACGGGACTGCTGGTGGCTCCTGGGATCCCCAACCTGGTCAGCACAGCTGCTGCCAGAGGCTGGGTCACAGGAAAAGGTGATGCAGGGCAGTAACCTTGGAAAGCTGGGCAGTGGACCCCAAAGCTGGAGCTTGCACTGTGGCTGGTCAACCGTCTACACCAAAAT